GAGGCGAATGCGATGACTCAAAAGCCGGAAAGGCTCAAGGGTTGGTTCAGCCAGTGGGCAGACACTTGGGGCGGCCGCTGGTCGTGTGACTGCAGACGTGCTGGCGACGTAGGGACAAAGCAGGCTGACGTGGAAGGCGTCGTGAATGCGCCACTCGTCCGGGAGTAATAACTTCGTTGTGACAGGTGTCACCATCTTGACAATACAAAAAGGGCCACAGAATAGCGGGCGGAGTTTTATGGCAGGGGCAATCGAAGGTTCTTCGTGTCTAGGAGGACTAGTTGCCCAGCGGTCATCGTGATATCGCGGTGATGAAGGTCTGTATAGCGTCAAACAGTTGTGTTGGACTTGCGAATGAATTCGATCGTTTTATCCCGGGCAGCTTGCAAGCTGGTCACGAATTGCTGGGAACGTGGCACTGGGTTGTCGATGTTGGTAGTCGTCGGGACGGCCGGATCCATCCCGTAGTTTAGGAAAAACGGCAAGTGAGTAGTCGTAGCAGATGGGGCATTGTTGTAGGAAATTCCAGCATGGGGAGGAATTCTTCCCACCGGGCAGGATCGGGGCAGTTGGTGCGTATTAGCTGCTCCATGGTCTGATTGGTTCGTTCGATCTGGCCGTCGGTTTGAGGATGATAGGCGGAGGAAAATTGGAGGCGTGTGCCGTAGTGGGCCCATGTCTCTTGCCAGAACTTGGACGTGAATTTTGGGTCGCGGTCGCTGATGATCGCTGATGGGACGCCGTGTAAATGAACAACGGTGGAGATGAAGAGTTTCGCTGTATCCTCGGCTGTGATTGTTGTGTGACAGGGTGCAAAATGCGCCATCTTCGTCAGACGATCGACGACGATGAGGACGGCGTCGTTGCCCGTTTCGGTTGTTGGAAGTCCCGTGACGAAGTCCATCGTCACGTGTTGCCACGGTCGCTGGGGTGGCTCGAGCGGTTGCAGCAGTCCAGCTGGCCGCTGTCGAGAGGACTTCATGCGTTGGCAGATCGGGCACGCAGATACGTATCTCTGCACATCAGACGCCGAATCAGGCCAATAATAAAAACAGTGAAGTAATTTCTGGGTTTTGTCAACCCCGAAATGACCGGAGAGGTTAGAATCGTGGACTTCTTGAATCAGTAATTCGCGGAGGAGTCTGTAGGCGGGAACCCAGATACGGTCAGTACCAGCTTTTAGGAAGTAGGGTCCTTTGGCTGTGGTGGCTTGCTGGTGGAGGTTGCGGGTGAAAAAGGGGTTTGTGGTATATCCGTGGGTAAAGAGGCCCGTGAGCAGCGGGTTGGATTTTGCGACGATGATGGAGGCGAGGTGGGCGGATGGTCTTGTCAGTGCGTCGGCGATGTTATTCGCCCCACGTTTATACGTGATGGTGTAATGGAAATTACTTTCGAGGAAGTCCAGCCAGCGAATCTGCCGTGGATTGAGGTTTAGCTGCGCGCGGAGGTACTGTAGGGATTTATGGTCTGTCCGTACTGTCACGTCGGCTCCCGTCAGGTAGCATCGCCACACCTTGAATGCGTTCACGATGGCGAGCATTTCTTTGTCGTGGACGGGGTAGTTGCGCTCGGCTGCCTGCAACTTCCTAGACTCATACGCGATGGGTTGGAGTCCGTCGCCGAAATCTTGTAACAGTATCGCACCGATGGCGAAATCGCTAGCGTCCGTCAAGACTTCGAACGGTCGAGATGGGTCGGCGATTCGGAGGACCGGGGGCGACGTCAGAAAAAATCGCAGTTCATCGAAAGCAGTCTGCTGTCTCTCCCCCCACTCAAACAAAGTGCCCTTCCTCAGCAGGTCAGTTAACGGTCCGGTTATCCCTGCCATATTGGGGATAAACCTCCGGACGTAATTAGCGAACCCGAGAAAACTCTGCAGCTCCTGTAAATTCGTCGGCGGCTTCCAGTCGCGAATCGTTGTGATTTTCTTCGGGTCGATTTTGATGCCGTCCGCTCCCACAACATGTCCCAAAAATTCCAGTTTTTGAAACTCGCACTTAGAGCCCTTGTAATGAGGTGGTGTTCTTGCAGCCGCTGGAAAACTTGCTCGAGGTCCTTGAGGTGCTGTTCCTGTGTCTTGCTGTAGATCAGAATGTCATCAAGGTAGACGATGACACACTTGTCGAGTAGATCTCGGAAGACGTCATTCATGGTGAGTTGGAATGTGGAGGGCGCGTTCGTGAGGCCAAATGGCATCACGGTGTACTCGTAACTGCCATATCGGGTTCGGAACGCCGTCTTGTGGCAGTCGTCAGCGAAGACTCGGATCTGATGGTAACCGCCGCGTAAGTCGATTTTCGAGAAGAAGCGAGCTCCGCGAATTTGATCGAGAAGATCGTCCGCACATGGGATTGGGTAGCGAGACTTAATGGTTCGCCGATTCAGTGCCCTGTAGTCGATGCATATTCGCAGTCCGCCGTCTTTCTTTGGCGTGAACAGGATTGGTGCCGCGAACGGGGACGTGCTGGGCCTAATGAACCCCTTCTCCAAGAGGTAGTCCAGCTGGCTCCGCAACTCCGTGAGTTCGGGCTGAGTCAACCGCCACTAGGTCCTGACTGTAGGCTGCGCGCCGGGTTCCAGGTCAATTTTGTGGTCCTGTGGGCGCTCGGGTGGCAACCCTGCTGGCAGGTCATCCGGAAAAATATCCGGGAACCGTCGAATCAGCGTGGCGAGCTCGGCAGGGACATTGGCACAAAGTGTGTCCATGTCCTTTGGCGTGTCATCGACCGTCACTTCAGCCAGGTGGACGGCATACAGATCGGCTCCTTTTTTAACTGCTCGTTGGAGGGTGATGGCGCGTTGGCACGTGTCGACACCGGATCCCTCCCACGCCAGCTCGGAAGTACGCGCCACCCGTTCGCACAGTGCACGCTGCATTCGCCAGTTGTCCAGTCAATCCTCGGGTTGTATTTTCGCAGCCAATCACGCCCAAGCAGAATGTCGCAGCCGTCCAGCGTCGTGGCCAGCATGGGCATGCTGAATCTGAAGTCATCGTCACACTTCATCCGCACCATGCGCGCTCGTTCTCGAATTGCAAGTGGAGTTCCGTCCACCAGTCGCGCGTCGATTTCGGGAAGAAATTTTTCCAACGTCAGCTTCAACTGCTTCGCCGTTGTTACGTATATGAGACTGTGACTAGCTCCGCCATCCACAAATTTTTTTTTTTTTTTGACGTTAACCTTGCCTTCGACCAGCACAGTGTGATCTTCAGGTTCGCTCCCGTTATTCGTCCGAGTGCGGTCGATAGCGTGTATCGGTACCACAACTTGGTGGGAACGTTGAAGTTCGGGCGACAAAGCCTCGTCAGTAGGGGGCCCGTCTGCTACTGACTTTTCCCATTTCCCGGCTTCTCCTTGTCGTTCTTCGTCTTCTTGGGCGCCGTCGGGCAGTACTTAGCTCAGTGACCTGGCTTGTCACATCGAAAGCATAGCCCGTGAAATATTTCATCGGGCGCTGACACGCCATTGATCGTGGGGCGGGGAGACTGTCCACGAAAACGACCAACATCCCTGTTGTTCTTTCTCGCCCACTGCTGCTGTGCATCGGCTGCTGACGCCAGCTGGATAGCTTCATCGAACGTCTTGGGACGGGACCGCTGCAATTCGTATTGAATATCGAAATGCAGCCCGCTAACGTATTTGTCCCGCCTTTCCGCCTCGCTGAGGTCGTCGACTTGGTCCGCAAGTGCCGAGAACGACGCAGTGTAATCTTGAACAGTAGTCACCTGCCGCCAGTTGCGCAGCTTCATGCGAGCGTCGTCTGAGGCGGATGAATGCTCAAAACGAGCTCACAGAGCTGTGCCCTACTGTTTCCACGTGCGAATTGTGGTCGTACCGAATATTGTTTCTGCCTGTTGGTTTGAAGAATCCGAAGTCCCGTCCTTCGCCTGCTTCACTCCTGCCGGAGTCCCAATCGCCAATTGTCGTCGCCACCAATCCAACGCCGGTCCTCGGAGCAGCGACACGGCATAATTAATGCGCGCGTCATCCGTATGCACACTTGCCGCCGTGAAGAACAGCTCCATGCTGAACTGCCACCCTTGCACCGTCGTTGCCTTGTCCGAAGGATTGAACGGGTGCGGTGTTGCTGGCTTGAGTTTAATCTTCGTTACGGTCACAGTGCGCACGTCGTCCTGCTCCAACTCCCGTGCGAGCTCGTCAAGGACGGTTTCGCTCGCTGCGTCGTTGGCACCTTGCTTGACCTCGTCTTCGGCGACTCCTGACGCGCTTCACCACGCGTCTGGCGAAGCTCGGTGTTCTCTGTCCGAAGTCTCATGACTTCACTGTTCAAACTCGCCATCTGGGCTTGCATTGCCTGCATCTGAGCCATGACCTCGTCTAGCTGGGCCTGGGACATGATGCGAATGCTACGCCTTTCGGGCAGGGGGAAGGCCGTGGTAAGAAACCGTAGGAGGCGCAAACGCTATCGTAGTTGTGTGAGCTAATAACTCTAGCTCACGGACAACCGCTTTGCAGCCCCGCAGGGTTAACCACGCCTTGGAAATAAACTACCCTGAGAAAGCGGGGTGAACCAGGAAAGTAGCTCTGATACCAGATGTTACGAATAATAACTGAGAGTGCGCGGAATAATAATGACGAGTACAAGAATGCTAGCCTAGCATTATATAGCGAGAGCTCTAGCTAGGCGACGAAGCCGGAGGGCTAGGTTGGGTACAGGCACGGTCGAAAGGGTCGGAGGCGGCGCGGGCGTGCCTCGGGGTCGCGTCGGAAACGGACCGAGCCTGGTGTTCCGAGAGTTCGGGTGTACGCGATTGCAGTACAACCCGGTAAGGAATAAAATTCCTTACAATGGTGGACTCCGAAACACTACCATTCGAACACATTTGTATTTCGCCTCCGCTGTGTCGTCTCATCGCCACCGTCAAACACTAGATCTGTCAGACTTCGATCGACGGGTGGGATGTGGTCGACCCATCTCATTCCATCATCAAACTTTTTATGTGAAGGCAGTGCACTGGAAGCTCGTGCCATGGCTGTATCAGGAGGAAGGGATAATACTGCACAGAATAGCGCCTGGCACCTGCCACATTGTGTTTGCTGAAGAGCGGACGCGGCTGCCTGGGTGGAGAGACGACGAATCTTTGAATGTGACGTTTTTTATGGCAAAGCCGAAGCAGTCTTCGAGAAAACGGCGTGCTGCTGATGCCGCTCGAAAGCAGTGCGACGGAGACCAGATCAAAGCCACGCCAGAATCCCCTGCTAGGAAACGAATCAGGTTGACGACTTCGTGTGTCGTGCAGGACGAGGATATTTTTTTCTTTGATCCTGACTTGGAAGCCTCTGGCTTGCATGAACCCGAGTCTCCAGCGGAGAAATCTTACGTCGGAGTTTTCTGGGACATTGAGAACTGCTGCATCCCCACCAAATGCAGCACCAAAGACGTCGTCCGACGACTGGAAGATATTATTCGTGCGTATGGAAAGGTCATCCGATTCTCGGCTTATGGCAAACAGGGAGTTATCGGCTCGCGCTTAAGCGAACTGCAAGCATGCGGTGTGGATTTCGTAAAAGTTCCGGCAGGGAAGGAAACGGCCGACAAGGCCATGGTTCTCGACGTCATGTGCTTCGCGTTTGACAACAAAGGCCGACTTCAACAAACGCAAATCCAAGATCAAGCAATTTCTCCGAGTCAGAATTCTTTGACAAGCAGGTATGTTATTTACTTTATTCCCCTCGTAACCTTCTTCCATTGACCTCCACTGATGATGCCTTCTCATCACTTTTGCAGGTCGGCCCCACCATGCGTGGTGCTTATCACTGGTGACTCTGGCTTCGCCGCTCTTGTGTCCAGACTCCTTGACCGTTGCATCAAAACAGCTGTCGTAACCCGGGCAATCAGACCACTGACTAATCCTCTTCACCCGCATCCAGTATCCATGCCCTTGCTGACTTCCGGAGCTGACATCCACGACTGGGACTGTGTAATCTCCAAGAGATCGACTGAGTCTGCATCGCCTTCAGCTCCGTCCACATCAGACCCCCTTCTCGGATCGCTGGCAGACACGGCTGCAGCAATCGAAGGAAAATGCACTGAGGGGGTGCAGAAGGAAGCAGCATGTGCCAATGCATTCAGCAGATGTGACACAGCAAGTCCTTCACTACCTGGTATCTCCTGGGCTGCTGTGAAGGCGCGTGCCAAGCAAGGGTTCACTGACAAGGAGGTATCTTTGGGAGTGCTCAAGTACCAGATGATGACCGTGCTTGCTACTCGGAGTAGTCTTGCCATCTTTGCGGGCTTTCAATCGGTTTTTCACCGTCTTATGGGCAAGTCAATTCGGCTCAAGGACTACGGGCTGAAACGATTGACAGACCTCGCAGTTGCCCTTCCTGACGTGGTGCAGCTGAGCGCGACAGAAATGAAGCAGCAGAAAATTACTCGAGGGCGCCCAGCTGTGAAGAGAGGAAAGTTGCAAACGAAACAGCCAAGGTTCTCCCTCGTTTTATCACCACAGAACCTGAGAACCCTCGCGCTCATCCAGTCACGACTGAGACTTGTTGTGCACAGGGGACTCGTCGAGCTCGTGGCAGACGCAGGCGAAAGCTGGGTGCCCATCGACTTGCTTCAGAAGAAGGTGGAACAGACGGTCAACCAACCGCTTGAAGCTATTTTGACCAAGCATAAGTTCAGCGGAGGAGGTGCCGAGTCTCAGTTGGTCTGGAGGTTTGTTGCAATGCTGCAAGAAATGCCTGATGTGGTCAGAATGCGGATGGACCCCACAGGCCAAGTGTGTGTCCAGCCTGTTGGAGGCCCTGAGGATTGCCTAGTAGCTTGGAAAATCCAGAACCCGTTGTGGGACAGGCGCATTTATGTACAGTAGCACTTCCGCAACACATTTTTGTTTCTAATGGCTAGATACGATATGGTACATATGTCCTCTGAAAGCCGTGTCACGATCGCACCACTAAACGCGGCAGCAGTACCACAGCGCCTACAATGCTCGGTTACAAGTGTCAACTTATACATGTCATGAGTGTAGAAGTTATAGGCTAGTATCGATGTGTGCTCGTAGTGAGTACAACCCAACTGCTATATGTTCCCTGTTTCTCTTTCTAGTCAATTATTCTCGTAAGCTAACATGGCATCGAGTAGGTTAGGTCCCCCCCCCCCACTCGCGCCCTAGCCTCTTGCCTCCCCCTACCTACCTAGCCCGGCGCAGCCCTTAGCGCCCGCTTGGCCTGTAGCGCCCGCCCGCTCCTTAGCGCCCGCCTGGACCCTGTCGCGCCCTCCTGGCCCCGTTGCGCCCTCCTAGCCCCGTCGCGCCCTCTTGGCCCCCGTCGCGCCCTCCTGGCCCCGTATCGCCCGCCTGGCCCCCGTCGCGCCCTCCAGGCCCCGTCGCGCCCTCCTAGCCCCCGTCGCGCCCTCCTGGCCCTGTAGCGCCCGCCTGGCCCCCGTCGCGCCCTCCTGGCCCCGTAGCGCCCTCCAGGCCCCGTAGCGCCCTCCTGGCCCCCTGTCGCGCCCTCCTGGCCCCGTCGCGCCCGCCTGGCCTCGTAGCGCCCTCCCGGCCCCCAGTCGCGCCCTCCAGGCCCCGTAGCGCCCTCCTGGCCCCCGTCACGCCCTCCAGGCCCCGTAGCGCCCTCCTGGCCCCCGACGCGCCCTCCAGGCCCTCGTAACGCCCTCCTGGCCCTCGTCGCGCCCGCCTGGCCCCACCCCACCCGCCTGGCCCTGTCGCGCCCGCCTGGCCCCACCGCGCCCGCCTGGCCCCGTCGCGCTCGCCTAGCCTCACCGCGCCCGCCTGGTCTGCTGCGCGCGCCGGCCCCTCCTAGCGCCCGCCCGGTCCCTCCTAGCGCCTGCCCGGCCCCTCCTAGCGCCCGCCCGGCCCCACCTAGCGCTCGCCCGGCCCCCCCTAGCGCCCGCCCGGCCTTTCCTAGCGCTCGCCCGGCCCCTCCTCGCGCCCGCCTGGCCCTTGCCTAGCGCACGCCCGGCCCCCTTTCCTAGCGCTCGCCCGGCCTCTCCTACTGCCTGCCCGGCCCCGATACGCCCGCTCGTCTCTTGCGGCCCGCAACTCCTTGTGCCCGCCCGGCTCCTGCGGCTCGTGTCGTCTGCTTGCCGCGCTGGAGCGTCTTGTCACCGTCCTGTGGAGCTGTGATGCTGTGTCCCTGTGTCGCTGATTCTGCACGATGGCTGACTTCGTCCTCCGCCTGGACGTGGAGGGCCACGCGGTTGAATTCGCCGCCTGGCTGTCCGATCTCCGCCGTCACCTCACAGGTCAGCGTCACGATGGGCACTCCTTGGTTGTCCATGTTGATGGCTTGCTCCCTCGCCCCCTTGCACCTGCTCCCCTCCCTGCAGACCCCACCTCTACTGAGCGTGAGGTTTTCTCTACTGCTGCACTTGCCTGTGCAATCTGGGACTCTCGCGATGCAGTTGCTCAGGTCGCTATTAGTCACGCCCTCCCTGTGCCTGAGCGTTCACGTTTCGCTACAGTAGATACAGCAAAGGCTTACCTAGATGCTGTAGTTGCTCGCTATTCCACGCCTGCCTCCGCTACTGCAAGCCGCTTGCTCTTTCCTATGCTTTTCCCAGACCTTGCTTCCTTCCCTACTGTTGCTGATCTTGCCACCCACCTGCGCGCCCTCGAGTCTCGCTACCGCACTGCTAGCACTGCTGCCCAGCTCACTCTGCTCCCTCCCCCCTTCTGCATGACCCTCTACTTTATCGCTATGCGCCTGCCTGACCGCCTTGCTAGTGCCCGCGACCACATCCTTAGCCAGCACCCAGGTGACCCCACCCTGACAGCCTTTGTCACCGCCCTAACCGAGATCGAGACTCGCCAGCGCACCATCGCTCAGTCGAGCGGTGCACCAGCAGTCTCTATCTTTCACGGCTGTGCCCCCTCCCAGTGCACGTTTACTGACGTTTCGGCTGCGGTCGCCACTGCGACCCCTCTGACGAAGATTGCCGCAGCCGTGCACTCGCAGCAGCGCCCGTGCCGCGCCGGTCGTGGCCGCCAGGGAGGGCGTGGTGGTGGAGCTGGTGGTAGTGGTGGTCGTGCCGGGGACAGTGGTTCTACTGAGGGGACTGCCGCACCTAGTTAGGAGCAGCAGCCGTCGCCCCAGCAGCAGGAGCAGCCGCAGCAGCCGTCAGAGCAATCGCAGTCGTCGCCGCAGCTGTCCCAGCCCCAGCCGTGGGCTCGTCTCCCCCCGGGTTGGCCCGGCACCTCCGTCGGTGGTGGCCGTGGTGGTGGCCCGCGCAGCTTGGCGTCTACCGGCAGCTCCGGTGGTGTGACCTGCCAGTACCAGCTTCAGACCGGGCCTCTCCGCGGCACTCTGTGCCGCCGCCCGCACCCGACCACCCGCTGTTTCCGCCGCGCTTTCGTCGTCGCTTTGGCCCGGCCCCGGACCTCCCCGACTGGCACAGCCTGCTTCGCCAGGGCGTGCCGATCTTTGAGTTAGATATGGATCAGATAGGTGCTGCTTTGCGTGCCTTGTATGCTGACGCTTCTAGTGTTGCTGAATCCTATTACCCTGTGTACTCTAGTTTAGGCGTAGCACCCTTGTGTATCTTAGCCTCCCCTGCTGCGTCAGGCGTAGGACTGCCTAGTTTGCCTAGCCTAGTTTCTGCACCGGCTTCGTTCCTGGCCTCCGCTAGTGCCTCACTATCCTTCACTCTCGACTCCGGTGCTTCTGCCTGCTTCTTCCGCGACCGCTTCACGCTCACGCCGCTTGCTGCGCCTGCTGTTGTCGCTCTCGCTGACCCCTCCGCGGGACCTGTCGTCGCTCGCAGCTCCACTTCCCTTCCCTGTCCAGCTGTCCCCTCAGGCTCTCTTACAGGCCTCCACGTTCCCTCGTTCTCCAGGAACCTGGTTGGTGTCAGCCGTCTTCAGGACCTCGGCGTCACCACTACGTTCCCTGGGCACGAGCGGTTCGCGGTCTGTACCGAAGCTGTCTCAGGTTCCCCCCTTGCGACGCTCCCCCGGGACCCGGTGTCCGGGCTGTTTACCCTCGACACCGCTTCCCCCCCGGTTGGTGCGTCCTCCCAGGTCGCTGCGGCTTGCTCATGTCGGTCCCTCACACACCCGTCCCTTTTGTGGCACCACCGCTTAGGTCACCCTGCTCTCCCACGCCTGCGTCACATGTCTCAGCACGGACTTGTCTTAGGCCTCCCCGAGTCGCTCCACACACTCCCCTCCTGTCGGTTGTCCTCGTTGAGGAGTCAGCTGACTCTGGTGGTCCCCTCGGCCCGTCTGTGCCGCGCCCCCCCTCCCCGGTGCCCCCCCCTCCCCTGTCGCAGTCGCAGTCGACGTCGCTGTCGTCGCCGCCACCGCCGCCGCCGCTACCGCCGTCGCAGCCGTCGACGCTGCCACCGCTGCCGCCGCCGCTACCGCCCTTGGCCTCTTGGGGTGCTGGCGTTGAGGAGGGTGCTCGTCCTACTGCCCCTGGCGTGGTCGGCTCCGGAGAGCCTGGGGGTGCTACTGGTACTGGAGGGAGTTCTCGCTCTGGGGGTGTTGGTTCTGGGGGTGCTGCCGTTGAGTGTTCTCCCGGCGGTCGTCGTGCCCCTGCCGGTCCGCGGGTCGAGACCCAGCCGCCGTAGCCGCCGCAGCTGTCGCCGCCGGTCTCCGCTCTTCGCCTGCTCGGCTTTCCCTCCCCTGACCGCTCGCCGGTGTCTCCCCCTCCACCTTCTCCTCTTCTTGTCTACGGTCCTGTGTTCCCGCCCCCGGACTCTTCTCCGGCCCGTCTTCCTCCTCGTTCCCCCCTTGTGTCCCCTCCGCTGTCTCCTGACCCTACACCTCCGTCCCACGTGTGGTCTCGCCGTCCCTCACGTGCTCGTCCCGTCTCTCCTGTCCTGCGCTCCCACCCTATGCTGCTCCGTTCCCACTCTTCGCGTCCTCCCCTCCTCCCCTCGCCACCTCCCTCGTCGCTTGTTGTTGCACCTCCCCCACTGTCTGACTACCTCCGTGCCTCTCGTCCCCTTGTCCCTCGGGTCCTTGCCTCTCTTGTTACCGACCTGTCTGTTCCTGTCTCGCGCCTTGACGCGCTTGTCGCTGCTGTCGCTGACTTCGCCTCTACCCGCCTCCTTGACTACGCTACCGCTCTGGTCTCCGACCCTGCCTGTCCTCCGGCCGCCGGGGGTGCACCTGCCCTTAGCAGTGACGTCCTAGAGGATCGCTAGTACGAGCTTGCTTTCCTTTCCGAGGCCGCTCCCCATCTCTGCTCCATGCTCCTAGTCCCAGAGGGTGACCCAGACGCCTTCGACATCCCGACCCCTCGCACCTACGCTGAGGCCACCTCGGGACCCTGGGCCTCTTAGTGGATAGCTGCTGCCATGGAGCAGGAGATGGCATATTGGAGGTCCACCGGCACTTACGTCGACGCAGTTCCCCCTCCTGGGGTGAACGTAGTCGATGGTCGGTGGCTCTTCAAGATGAAGCGCCCCCCTGGAGAGCCGCCTGTCTTCAAGGCGTGCTACGTGGCTAGAGGCTTCAGCCAGCACGAGGGGGTGGACTCCTTCCAGACCTTCGCCCCGACACCGAAGATGACTACTCTTCGGGTGCTGCTACACGTAGCAGCACAGCGCGACTACGAGCTGCACTCCCTCGACTTCTCTACTGCCTTTCTTCAGGGCAGCCTACACGAGCAGGTCTACCTGCGCCGACCACAGGGCTTCACTGGTACCTTCCCCCTTGGGACCCAGTGGCTTCTCAGGCGCCCGGTCTACGGCCTGCGCCAGGCCCCTTGCGAGTGGCACAACACGCTGCGTGCCACGTTAGCAGACCTGCAGTCAGGGCTGACGTTTAAAAAAAAAGCACCCTGAGCTGTCGAATGTGGAAAAGAATTTACTCTGAGGGCCTAGTGTTGGAATTTTGACTTCCTTGAGTTCTCAGTGTTCTGGAACTTACAACCCTGAAACCTCTAGGGTTGGCTAGCAACAATCAGGGTTGCATTGCACTTGGAAAAAATCAACTAGGAATGTACAGCTACTAGTTAAGTAAAGGCACCACTACGCCACGCCAGTCTACAAGTCCTCTATCTAGTCTAGACTTCACAATATTCCATGCCACTAGCTACACTTGACTAAAATTCTGGGCCATCCATGTTCACTTCGTCTTCTGCCTCGTCATCGGACAGAAAGGGGTTATCTTCCACTTCAGGAGGAGCCTCTCCCCCCACTCCCCCCTCCCCCTCTCCCTCATCCTCTGCCCATTCCCCCATGTAGTCGGGGAGTGCCAACTCCTCCACCCTCACTTCTGCCCCCTCAATCGCCTTCGCCTTACGCTTCCTCTCCGCTGCGGCAAACAGAACAGACTTAGCAGGGCGCCTCAGCTTCTCGCGCCAACACCCAAGGGCCTCGTCCCAGTTAGTCTCGTACTGCAGCAGGGAAATTACCATCAGCTCGTTGAGGCGCGCATTGCACAACGCGCCCCGCACCCATGACTTGATGACGTTCTGCCGCGAGAAGCCTCGTTCACACTCCAATGTGCTAAGCGGCAGGACAGCGCACGCCTGCCACAAGCGCATGAGGTTCGGCCAGCGCCTGCCAAAAGGATTGGGGGAACAGAATATACGGAACAAGACCAGTGCATTAGCGATGCTAGTCAACAATCGATAAACAACAACATCCAAAGGGAAGAATAAAACCGCCCAAAAAAAATGCAACAATCGTCCTTCGAGCAGCACTCTCTCACAAGGTCGACTCAGTCGAGCTGAGGTAGTTCGTCAGGCCTTGATGGAATCCCTCATCGGCATGGTGGCTTAGCATCAGTGGCGCCCACGTGACCAGCTCCTTCTGCGCAGCTTGCAAGGAAAAGCCTGTCAGCCTGTTGTCGAACAAGGCACTGCAGCCATGTAGGTACTCCTTCAGCTTCTTCTCTCTCTGCTGCTTCATCCGGGGCCACTTCGACACGCGGAAGAGCTTCGTCGGGCCGAGATTGTTCAGGTCCAGCATCCTCGTCTTCAGGAAGCTTATCGTGTCCTTCGCGAACTACGCGCAGAGCCGCTCGCAATCGGGGTACTTGCTGCGGAAGGCATGCCCGTCGATCTGCTTCTCGTGCATGGTGTAGGTGTGCGTGACTGGGTTGCCGTCCTTGTCGATGCCCCGCACCTTTACGCGTTTGCCCCCTCCGCGCCCGTAGACCGCCAAGAAAGCCGAAAGCCACGTGCCTTCGACACCCCCACCGAACACCTCTCCGCACTCCAAGTAGCGGTGGCGGAGGTCCCCTGTTGCCTCGTCGATGTCCTTTGTCACTTCGGTGACATCGACCTGATGGAAGTGACAGACAAGGGAGTGGAGTCAGAGGGTGATTCCAAACGTGGATGCATGGGACAAAAACTACAACATCCACAGTAGTAGAAGCTCACCTCCCTCTTCTGGAATTTGAGGTTGAGCTCATTCATCACTCCGAGCACGTCCGCCAGGAAAAAAAGACAGAACTGGAACTTGTAACAGATGACGACCTCATACAGCTCATGCCCGTACTCATAAAAGAGAATGATAGCGGCGCCAAGGACCTTACAGAGGCGCCTCACAGCCTCACCCCTTGAAAGCCAGCACACGGTGTGAATTCCTTGCACTTCAAGGTTGGTGTTGTGTATTGCCCGCTGCAGGTACTTGAAGCGTTGACTCCAGACACATGAACGTCCCAGAAGATCGGCCAGAGTCCGAATCACAAGGTCGACCATGTCGAAGTCTGGAGAAGCAGTGGCCGCATCCTTCACCGCCAAGGCTTCCCTGCATGGTGCACACGAAGGAATTTTAGACAAGTAGTTGTAGGAACCCTAAGCGACTGAAATGACGTAAGGTTAAACCTGTGGGCGATGCAGTGCGACGAGACGAGGTGGGGGATGTACTCGCGAAGTCGAGTGACGAGACCATTGTCTCGGCCGACCATGACAGAGGCGCCGTCGGTGCTCATGCCGGTGATTTGGGAGAGGTCGATGCCAGTTGCTCGCAAGTGAGCCAGAAGAACGGCGAGGAGAGACGCGGCATCGCACTTTTCGACGGTCAAGAGAGCAAAAAACTTTGTGACAACACGATGCGCATGCAAGAAGATCAGATAAACAATAAGATGTTTACCGTGAGTACGGTCAGTGCTCTCATCGCAGCTGATGCCGAGGTAGGGTGAGGCGAGAATGTAGTGCATTTGTCGGCGCTGCAGGTAGGTTGCCAGGCTGCTGACGAGCTAACAGAAGCCATACCTGTAGTACCAGAAGTGACAACAAGGTGTTGGTTAGACCTTTTTGAAAAATGAAGGACATGGTGTACTTCGAATAAGTGCATTACCGTGTCAGGTAGACTCCGTAAGACTGCAGCGGAATGTCCGGTGTCTCCTGCTCGGCCATGAAGCGGAGTAGCCTCGGGTACATGCTGATGGGTGCATCACACTTGCACAGGAAGTCGACGCAGCGTAGGAGCCTCGTGACGCGCTTCCCCTCGATGTCAATCCGCGCGTAATTCTCCATGCGCCTCTGGGTGCTGGCGATGTCTTCGGCGATCTCCATCTGACGCTTGACTGCTACTTCGTGGGCTGTCGTATGTTCGTGGAACCGCATCACTTGCGTTTGCAGGTCAAGTGCCCCATCGCGGCTGTTGGAGTACGGTGTTGTCTCTTTGCCGAAAGCCTTGCACACACTGCACTTCAAAGCAGGGTAACCGTCTTTCGTTTTCGTTAGCAGAAGCCAAGGGAAAAATGGAAGCCAGCTGGTCTGATACTTGTGCTCAGCCATGAGATACTTCTGCTCGATGAGTTCCTTCTTTGAGAGATTCGGCGGCTCGGGTTCTGGAATACCAGGGGCCTGAGGTTCAGGCGACGTGCGAGGCGACGACCGTCGATGTAGCTTCCTGCCGAGGACTATCGTGCTCTGGGTGTACTTCCCGACGCGTGCTTTCTTCCCAGATGAAATCGTCGACGCACACTCGACCGTGTAACGCACGGTCGTGGCTGTCTCGCAGTCTGGAACCAAAGGGCCCCAGCTAGATGAGGCGACAGCGGGCGGAGGTACATAGGGAGCGGCGGGAGTAGATACGGGTTGTGATGGTGTAACGACTGCGGTGGGAGACCGCAAGATGTCTAGAGCGGATCTATGGACCTCCAGGGGGGGGTCCCTACCTAGTCCAGAACCATCATCGGCAGTGGGAGACTCACCAGAGTCTCCTACATCCGCCATGGCTAGAAGCGGCGGATATGATGGAAATGAGAAATCGGCGCGACAAAACTAGAGGAGACAGAAGACTGGAGCATCTCGTAGCTGTGACGTGAAGAAATGAAAAAAACTGGGTTGGAGGAGGAGCTGGTGAAGAAGACGGGAAGAGGACCAAGAAGCCCCATCTTTCGATTTTCATGGATGGTGCATAACCCATCCAGCCCGTATCCCCATGGCGATACCGTCAACGGCGAGACGCACCTGCGCTGGCATCGTCTGCACAGAGATGATTGGCGGGGTGATGTCATACAGAGGCTGACATTGCCGCACTCATCATATTCTGTCCTCGTCTGCTGCGTGCTGAGTCACGAAAGCCAGTTGACGGTTGCAAATGTTGCTGTAATGGCAACATACATCGTGTACACGGCGGGAACCTTGCCGAGTGCAGATTCCCCACGTGACGCATGCTGGGCGTGTTCAATGGACTGGGCCCTGTCACGCGTAAGGGGGCCATTTCGAGGAAACTCAGGGTCCGCATGGATGTCGCATTCAGGGTTCGTACGCGTAACTCCCTGAAAACTCAGTGTTGGGATAACGCAAACCCTGAAAATTTAAGTGTTCACTGACATACAACCCTGAAGAGGTTAGGGTTAAAAAAAACCCAACCCTGAAAATTAAGGGTTGGCCAAAAAAATACCTTGTGAAATCAGGGAATCAGGGTAAAATACCCTGATAACGACAGGCCTGGTGCCGCCCTGAGCTGTGTGCTTCCTGCTTGCACCACCCCTTCTCTAGCCTAGGGGGTGTGTCAACTTATACATGTCATGAGTGTAGAAATTATAGGCTAGTATCGGTGTGTGCTCGTAATGAGTACAACCCAACTGCTATATGTTCCGTGTTTCTCTTTCTAGTCAATTATTCTCGTAAGCTAACAAGCTGGTGTCACACAGTAATGCGTTCAATCTGGCAGTATTGCGAATATCAGGGCCGGACAACCTTCTTGGAGGGATGCATGGTTCCTCCTACCGTACATTGCTTCAATTCAAAGAAGAAAGCTAAAGATCACTAGATGTTACCAAGACGAATTACAGTAGTGCTACATGCAAAGACCTGAACGCTTGAACATGCAGACAAACGTATCAGAAGATGAAGACAATGCCATCATGAATGCGAGACTTCTGGTTCTGAGCCACACACTCGGATATCCACATGAGGTTGCGAATCTCTTGCTCCCTCAACCGAGCGTAAGCAAAGAACACACCATAGTGGAACTGCAGGAGTATGTGGGCAGAGGGAACAACGAAGTGGGAAGTAAGCATTTGAGATGTGACCACAATCCATGTTCCAGGAAATATACAGATAAGCTGCAAGAGCATGTGAGCTGGCAGGGGCGCACGAAGTGGGAAGTAAGCATTTGAGATGTGACCACAATCCATGTTCCAGGAAATATACAGATAAGCTGCAAGAGCATGTGAGCTGGCAGGGGCGCACACACCTGCTGGTCAAATGCGAGGGTGAGTCGCTTGACCTCCTCCTCGTAGAATGCCTTGTCCAGCATCTGGCTCTCCCCGAACGACAGCTTGGCAAAGATGGCCGCATAGGGGGGGTACTTCTCCATGGCCGCCCGCACCTGGTTGTCAGGGGTAGGGGAGGAGAGGCCGGGGCAGGGGAGGTGGAAAAGGTTAGCCAAGAAAGAATGGTGGGGAATGCATGACAGCATTCCTAGTTGTGCACCCAGACTGCATGCAAATTCTGTATCAAAGAAGTCCCCTGTGCACACCTGATCAAAGTCTTCACAGATAGCCAGCTCCTCATGACCATAAGGGTAACTGGAATGGGGACAAGAACGCCGGGATGGGAACAAGAACACAGGGGACACAACACGATAAAACAATCTATCAAATGCAGACACATTAGCAATGGGGTTAAAAAATTCCTGTGCAGGCTGAATACTGAAAAATGGGGATATAAAAAAGCATTGAAAGAAGAGCGAAGCTCACTGACAGCTATATTGCTTTCATATGGGGCTTACAGTAGGCCGAAGTTGGAGTAAAGCTTTCTTCGGTCATCACGAGTGAGCTCGGTGCCAATACTGCTCAAGGATGCAAGGGAGGGAAGGATTTAAGTGGAAATAAAAAAACCAGCTGCTGAAACGCAAGGGGGAAAGGATGGACCTAGTGGTAAGGCTTGCTCCAGTAAGCGTGTATTCAGGCTCCAACTAAAACAAGCTGCTACATGGTGACGCTGACGGCCCTCGCAATCTCACCTGTTGATGGTGATGCTGACAGCCCGCCGGTCTGCCTCAAAGGCAAGAAGGTCGCACATAATCTCCGCTGTTGCTCCCCCCACACGCTGGGCGGGAGGAAGGCAATGGAAAGAAAGTCGCAGGTATTTGAGGATGAGGGTATCCAAGAAACATGGGAAAACATGCGAAAGCAACAGTCACTTGCGTGTCCCTTGCATAACCTGAAAGGTCCTACACACCTTGCAGAACTTGTAAAAGTCTTCAAGGTAAGCCTTGTACAGGGTGTTCCGCATGATCTCAATGTTCATGTCGTCCAGATCCTGTCAGAAAAAAAACGATGAGCAGGCAGTTTTCAAGAGACGTGATGCATGGGTGATGTGTACGTGAATCAGAAAATAGAGCTTGAAAAGAGCTAGCGGTGGCTTTTATGAACGTTGATGGAAATTTCCTAGCTTCTGTTACTGTACAGTGGTGCTCTTTGCCATGCATTCACCCACCTCTGAGGTGATGCACTCGGAGAAGTACGGGGCGAGGGGCGTGTCGACCAGCACCAGGCGGTAGAGCTCCCTCATGTTCTGCGCCACTGCCAGGGTGGCGATGCTGCAGGCAGAAAGCAACAAGGGATCCAAGCACATGTGCACAGGGAAAAGTCCAGCCTTTGAGCACTCCTGAGTTGAATCTGGCTCTACCTTGCCCAATGTCGCTCCATCCATAACTACCTGTTGTAGCCGCAGGTAGCTTCTTCGTTCGGTTACTTTTCCATCCAAGGTCAATAATGATTTCCTCGATCACCCACCATCCCTACCGACCTGTCAAACATGCCGAGCGGGTGGCACTTCTCCAGCAGCTCGTGCACGTCCCGCTCGTGCAGGGCGCCGCTCACAATGAGCACCACGTTGTCGATCATGTGCCCGTACCTGCCCACAGCAGCACGGGAAACGGTAAGAATGGACCTAGCAAAGGGGGAACGGTAAGAATGGACCTAGCAAAGGGGGAACGGTAAGAATGGACCTAGCAAAGGGGGAACGGTGGAAACGCAGGATCACGCTAGCTTGGGCGACCGCTGTCGATCATGTGCCTGCACCTGGTCAGGACAGCAGGGGAAATGGACTTTACGAGAAAACGGCGGAAGAACGGAATGTCTCAAGCACTTCGGCTGGTTAGATAAAGTAACCGTTGCCTGATCTGTGGCGTACGAGCATGCTGAACTCTCAGCAGCAGAGCATCGCCAGCCGGAGCGAAAGAACTTGCGTCTTGCATTGAAACTGAACCGCTGATCGAAAATGTAACCTGATCTAGGACCAGCGAGCCAGGTCGTCAAACGACTCAGCGTCTACGGCGATTTAGAATAGCCGGACGCGTTTAAGATCCAAGACCGATGACGCTCCCCGTAACGGCCAAATAAGAACTACGAATGCGAGGCATATCGTCCGTGACGTAGTCGAGGAAGGTTGAGAGAGGCTCGGTGACGGCCTAGAATAAAGCTCCTTCCGACATGATGTCCAAAAAGCTCAACTGCGGATCAAATACGGTGAGAGCCTCACGTGATGTAGTCAAGGAAGGTGGAGAGCGGCTCCGTGGCCTGGCATCGCATGTGGTCGAATTCGTCCACCAGCTTCTGCGTGCACTTGTCGACGATCGTCGTCGTGTGCAGCGGCGACGGCTCTAACGGAAGAAAAAAAAGGGCGGAACAAACGACGGACGGCATTGGTTCCAGATCAGCGTCGACGGAGATTGAATGTTACATAAATACTAAAAAAGAGTGGAAATAAAAACAAATAGTGATCCAGCATCCATCCATTCTGTCAGAAGCCGGGTGATCAACGGGGTAGGCAGCGTGCTGACCGTTTTGTAGAAATCCTCCGTAGTCCGTTCCCGTGAGGTGAAGCTTGATGTCGTCTAGCGTCTCGCACTGGCACAGGTTGTTGTAGTCAGCGGCTGTCAGCAGCCCTGACCGGTACCCTCGCACGATCGCCTCCAGATACCCATCGTTGATGTTGAACGTGAGAGCCTCGAAACCGTACATGGTCGTGCTGTAGGAAACCTAAAAAGGATGTCAGGATCAGGAGGAGCGACCTTCCAGGATCCTTTTCCGATGCAAGGCCCTACCACCAGAACAAGAGACGAAAGTATATACGTGTCGACGGCAAGGTTCTCCTGACTAATGGAGGAAAGAAACTCTGTCACACCTAACCGAACCTTGAATACGCGTATGGGGATTGTTCCACTTCACAGGATCTGGCTCTCAGCAACCTGACAGAACTAGGCTCGCGGGAACTCAGAATCCCTAGCAGAACAATCGTTAGGCTGAAAGCAGTCGCTAGGTAATGTGCCTTGGGATTTTCGAGCTATCAGAAATTCTCGAGAGCACTTCCCCACTCCTCTTCCTGCTGGACAATCTCGAGCACTGTAGCACCTTTCAGCTGATGCTCGTCTCGCCAGTCACAACAACACAGCCCTCGAGTCTGGGGCAATCCTGCTCGCAGTTCTGTGCTGCGGCTGCTTATAGGTTCATCAGAGGTGGTGGAATGGGTTCGGTGGTGGGGGAAAGGGGTGGGGGAGCGCAAGGATAAACTCCTTATAGGACCCTCAATGACTTCTCAATCGTGCAAGTATTTAGCCATATAACAATCCCTTTATGAAACCAAACTTGGGCTATGGCTGCAGTGCCATTTGACTTTATGTGCCCTTTTCCTCCCATACCTTTACAATGCCCACCAATTCAAACAATATCACGGTGAAACCATGTACCCATGCATCCGTAGGTGGAAAACATATATATGTGACTCTGGTGCCCGAAGCCGGACAGTTCGGCATAATCACGCATGAGGAAGATGACACAAACCAGGCCCCATCCAATCAGTACCCGCTGCAGCGATCTGCTTCATCGCGGGTAATCTGTTTAGAGCTTGACGCTTCGCAAGTCCAGGTTCGGCCCTAACGAGACCAGTGTGGTGTGGAATGGAGATTTTTTGGTAGGGGGCGCTGGTTGGTAGAGCATCAAGCTGACGCCACAGCAAACCAAACCAAACAGCGACCAGCCGAGGGTTCCAGATAGCAGACGAAATTTGTCTGATGGTCTGAGAACCAGACCCATTTTTTGTTTGTTGTTCATCTGATTTTTGGACGGGGTCTAATATTTCGTCTGAACGTCCATACTTGTTATAAAATTTCGTCTGAATTCACAGACTTCAGTCTAGCAGTTCATCTGAGTTTTCAGATAGCGAGGATATTCTCGTATGACAGCGACAATTCCACCCACCAAACCCATTGATCCCAGGTCCAGGTTGGTAACGGCCAAGTTCCTCACACCAGAGACATTCCTCCCCCAACGCCCCTCGCAACTTGTTGCTTTCCGCCCAGTCCCGCACAGTAAATACAATCCTCCCCCAACGCCCCTCGCAACTTGTTGTTTTCGGCTAAGTCCCGCACACTAGATATTCCAGCTTAGTCCCCTACACCAGATATATTCCTCCTTATAGCGCTCCCAACCTAATTCCTGATGTCCCCCACTGCCAGGTACACTCCTTCCACACCCCTCGCACCCCCAAAAGAAAGCCTGAAGTTCCTCCCTCACCCAATCGCATTCCTGGGTTTTTTTACGATGGGCAAGATCGGGATTAGCCGCGACTTGCGCCAGAGTGGCAAAACACCAAGCCACAAGGTAGAACATGACATGACCAGTGGGGTGCCAACCAGCAAGGGCCAGGGGTCCAGGCTAGTGTGGGCTAGCGAAGACGGATGACGCTCAAACACCCTGTCTGCTCAAATATCACTCCCTCAATCAGCCCTGAGTGTGCGTGTGAATTTCGTCTGAAAGTTCAGACATCGGTGTACGTTTCGTCTGAAACCCCAGACCTGAGAAATGTGCTCATATGATGGTCACACGAAATTTTGAAACCCCGTCTGATTTTCAGACAGGCTCCAAACTTAGCAAAAACCCTGAACCAGCCGTATCCGGTCTGAGGGCGTGTCAATGGCACAATGTAGCCTGACATCGTGTTACCTAGGAGCACGCCCTGAAAGGTAACCACACATAATTCAAATAGAACGGCTAGCATGCCCAGACCATCCTGAACCAAACTGATCTCAGAGTAGCGAAGTGAACTCAGCAAGGGCATACAGGGTGTTATATGAGTTGAGGGTTGTACTCTCGAAGAGCAGGAACCTGTCTAGCCTAGAACTAGACACACATCACAAATGTATAAGTTGACACACCCCCTAGGCTAGATAGGGGCAGTGCCGAGCAAGAGACACACAGCTCAAGGTGGCACTACTAGTCCAATCTCTGAGATAGGGACCCAAAGACCAGTCAGTGATAGTACAAACTAGACAAGAGGAACTCAGGGTGGCACTACTAGTCCAGCCATTGGAACCAGAGCTACAAGGCCAGTCAAGATAATATAAGGAGTAGTGCATAAGTCACGTCCTAGCAAGTGAGGAGATACTGGAACTAGACCAAGTTGTAAGCAGTGCCGTTGATTATCTGTAGGCGCAAGCGCCTTGGTAAAGATATCAGTTGTGTTGGCACCGAAGCCTAAGTATATTACCCGTGCCTGGCCGCGATGCTGTAGCTCGTGTAGGAGGAAGTACCGCAGCTGGATGTAGTTCGCTCTGCCCTCTAGTCGAAGCTCCGGACACTGGAGGATCATGGCCCTGTTGTCAGCGTACAGGACCGGGGCAGAGCTAGGCTGCTCACCCAAGTATGTGAGCAAGAACGTCAGCCAGCGGAGCTCCTGTGCCGCCATGGCACCAGCGTAGATCTTAGCCTCACAATTGGACTATGCAACAGACGAGGAGTGGGTGGACCTCCACGAGATAGCTCCTGCACCAAGGCTAAAGCAATAGCCCTGGGAGGACTTGAGTGTCTCAGCGTCGTCCGCCCACGAAGCATCTGTGTAGTGAGAACCATTGGTCTGCGTCCTCCGAGCACTAGCCCCATGCCCAATGTACTTGCCAGATAACGCAACACCCTCTTAGCGGTCGACCAGTGCTCGGGTCGGTGCCTGCCTGTCGCAACAAAGTGAGTGAGGATACTAAGAGGGTATGCGAGATCTGGAAGAGTGCAAGTTATCAGGTACATGAGACAGCCCACAAGCTCTGTTTACCGACCACTAGGCTCGACCGGCTCCTCAGGGACTGGAGCCGCGAGCATGTGATCGACTGGTAGAGGGGTGGGCTCTGCGGAGAAGAGCTGAAGGCCGAACCTCTGAAGGACCTAGCGCACCAAGTGTGAGTGTATGAGAGTGATGGTGTGCACTGCTTTGTCCCTGGAGATCTGCAGCCCAAGGTAGCAGCGCAGCTCTGCTAGGTCAGTGCAGGTGTGTGTCCTCAACAGCTCAGCCTTCACCGAGGCCAGTGTGTCTCTGTCTGCAGTAGCAAAGACGAGGTCGTCTACATAAACTAGGATGTAGAACAGAGTCTGGCCTGAGCAAGCAAAGAGTGACGTGTCAACAGAGGACGAGAAGAATGGCAGGTCTACTAGTGTAGCAGACAGCGTGTCGTACCACTCTCAAAGCACCTGCCGTAGACCGTAAACTAGGCGCCAGAGGAACCACTCGCACCTAGGAGGCAAAGTACCAGAGAAGCCTTGCGAACGGCGAAGGTAGACCTACTCGTGCAGACTGCCATAGAGAAACGCTGTGGAGAAGTCCAGTGAGTGAAGATCGTAGTCGCGATGTGCTGCTACGTGAAGCAGCGCCTGAAAAGTAGTCATCTTCGGGGTCGGAACGAAGGTCTAAAAGAAGTCAACGCCCTCGCGCTGATTGAAGCCTCTAGCAACATAGCACGCCTTGAACATTGGCGGCTCTCTAGGAGGACGCTTCACCTTGAAGAGCCACCAGTTACGTTCGCGCTAGGTGGGAGAACTGCGTTGACGTAGGTATCGGTGGATCTCCAAGATGCCACCTCTGCGTCCATCGTAGCTATCCACTGAGAGGCCCAGGGTCCCGAAGTCGCCTCAGCGTAGGTGCGAGGGGTCGGGATGTCAAGAGCATTTGGGTCACTCTCAGGGGCTAGCAACATGGAGCAGAGATGAGTAGCGGCCTCAGACAGGAAAGCTAGCTCGTACAGTCGGTCCTGTAGGACGTCACTGCCAAGGGCACGTGCACCACCCAATGGACGAAGGACAGACAGGGTCAGAGACCAGAGCAGTGGCGTAGTCAAGGCGGCGGGTAGCGGCAAATTCAGCGATGGCAGTGACAAGAGTATCGAGACTAGAGAAAGGAACGGACGGGTCGGTGACAAGGGAGGTGAGAACACGAGGAATAAGCGGACGAGCCACACGGAGGAAGTCAGAGAAAGGAGGCAGAGAGACAGCGAGCGACGACTGGGAGGCGACGAGAGGAGAGGAGCAGGAGGAGCACGAGATGCATGAGAACGGAGCAATATAAGGTGAGAACGCTGAACAGGAGGGACAGGGCGGGCACAAGAGGCACGGCTAGACCAGTAGCGGGAGGGAGGGGTCGGGTCAGGAGACAAGGGAGGAGATACGGGAGGAGAACGAGGGGGGAAACGAGCCGGTGATGAGTTCGGCGGTGGGAATACAGGGCCGAAAACCAGAGGAGGAGGCGGCGCTGGGGTAGACGTGGGCGGTCGGTCGGGGGAGGGAAGACCGAGAAGGCGAAGGGCGGACACCGGCGGCGACTCCTGCTGCAGCTGCTGCGGATGCTGCTGCTGACGCTGCTGCTACTGCTGCTTCTCCGCGCCAACACCTAAACGGCCAGCCGCACCACACCAAACTCCAGGACTCTCCACGACAGCACCCCCAGGACCAGCACCCCCAAGAAAGCACCCCCGGAAGTAGCACTCCCAGAACCAAAACCCGCCTTAGAGGCAGCACCCCCAGCACCAACACCCCCAGCGACCACGGACCCTTGCTACTACGGCGGCTGCTGCTGCGGTGGCAGCTTCGGCGGCGGCGACTGCTGCTGTAGCGGTGGAGGAGGAGACACCGGGGGCGAGGGTGCAGGCGCCGCAGAAACAAGCAGCTCACCCGGAGTAGTAGGGCCCCCTGACTGAGTAGTCTCCTCCGCCGGGCCAACCGAAGGAAGGGGAGTGACGTGAGATATACCAGACGGGGCAGGATGGGGAGGGAGGGGAGCAGGAGCTACCGGGGGAGTGGAGACAAGGAACAGGGTTGGTGTGACTAGGAGACTGACTTGTCACAGGTGACATCATGCAAGTGAAAGAAGGGGTGGGACGAGGGGTGGTAAAAGTGGTAGTAAGACGCGGTAAAGGGGAAGACAAGGAAGACACAAGGGACAGTGCAGGTAGTGAGCTTGTCCGCGCCAGAGGCACGAACGTGAGCAAGGCAGCCGCAGACGTGAAATGGAGACGAGACACTAGGGGACCCGAACAAGAGGAGGGTCGGCGAAACATGCGGCCGCTGAAAGTGCGGCCACAAGTTAAGCTGGAGAGCGACGTAGCGAATTGCAAACGGCCACAAAAAATAGGGTGCACCGGCATGTATCGTGGA